GGGACCGGCTGATCGGGAGGGGCCGAGCGCGGGCCGGTGAGCGGCTGAGACGAAGGGAGAAAGGGAGGGAGAAAGGGAGGGAGAAAGGGGGCCAGGAGGGAGGGAGGGAGGGAGGGACGGAGGGACGGAGGGAGGGAGGGAGGGAAAATGGAACGTACCAATGCACATCCTGATGTGAATTGTCAGAGTTTTTGAAGAAGTATAGACTCGGCAAGAAGCTGGCCGAAGGCGGCTTCTCAAGAGTCTACGAGGCCACACCGACGGCCCCGAGCCATGGGGGGATGACCAAGACGGTAGGAGGGCAATGAAGAGATGCAAAAACAGACATGCTTTCTCGACGTAGCTGTGTGTGCGTCTGCGTGTGGGTTGCGTTTACAGGTTGTGAGGATCATCAAAATCGACGAACGCTGCAAAGAACAGGGAGAGGTGGTCAGCGAATGCTCCACCACACACACGTGTGCTTTCCCACTTTTCTCTCCATGCAGGTTCGTCAAAGGCCGCCGGCACATCGTCTCGGCGGTGACACCTGAGGCTGCTGCAGCTGGCACAGTACGGCCACGGCGGGAAAGACATTGACATCGATGGCCACCCGAACATCTTCGAGACTCGCGATGTGTACAGGGACAGCTCGTCATGTTACATCGGTACAAAGACAGCTACTTTGCTGCACATCGATTGGAATGCGACTTTCATCTCTCATTCTGTGTTTTCACGTCATTCTCTTTGTTGTCCAGTGATGGACCACCACAAACAGCTGGATGGATCGACGGCAGAGGACTGGACCATAGAGAGGCTCGGGGAGGTGACAGCCGACATGGTATTGGCCTTAGAGCACATCCACGGCTTGGAAATCGCTCACCGGTAAGGATTGGGGGCAAGTGGACGTATGGTACTTGCCGTGCCTCTCTCTCTCTCCCTCCTACTCTGTGTGTGTGTGTGTGTGTCGATCCAGAGACATCAAGCTGGGCAACTTTCTTATGGCTGACGACGGGAGAGTCGTGCTGACTGACTTTGGCCTCGCTCGCAAGACCCAGTGTAACAACAGAGGAATCCGGACCCTCAGTTTCATTCAAGGGAGAGGTAGGACAGCGGACATTTTGCTCGATGATGCTGTGTGTGTCGGTTCGTGTAAACTTTGCAGGCAGCCTAAGTATGAAGGCCATGGAGTTGCGAAGTGCCAGCCACCGGAGGTGTGGAAGGGCAGCTACGGCAGGAAGGCCGACATGTGGAGCCTGGGTAAGACGACATTCCTTTTTAGCACAGCTTGGCCGCATTCATGTCCTTACATACAGGTGTCGTGTTGTTCGAGCTGGTCTGCAGATTCCCGCCCTTCTATGGTCGGACAATCACTGCGCGAGACACCGGAAAAAGCAGTTGTCTGTCTGGTGCAGGCAATTCAGGAATTGATGACCTGTCACTCTACCAAATCATCGATGGGAATTTGTGGACTGATTTCGGTTTTGAGGAGTTGCCGCAAGGCTTTCAAGACCTTATGAAGGGGCTCTTGGAGCCAGGTAATGCATATTTCAACATACGCCACTCCTTTGTTCTCCTTATTATTATTATGTCTCTAACAGAGCCAAGAAGGCGGCTGTCGGCCGAGAGGGCATTGCAGAACCCATTCATCCAAGCAGCGCTTAGCCAAAGGGCGCAGGGGAGAAGCCAGCCGTGGACCCCCTCTTTCAGAGGCGTGTGAGGGAGTGCAGGGCTTTTAGGGATGATTTGGCGGAGATAGCAGAGGCTGCTTTAAAGGGTCAGCCCCTGAAATCCCCTCGTCAATGTGGTGCGGTCCTGTTTTGTCCCGTTTTGTGTGCGTTTCAGAAGAGGAGGAGAACAAAGTGGCGGCGGCGGCGGCTGAGAGGGACAGCATGAAAAACCGAGGAATCCGCAGGTTTGCCTGCGGGTGTCCGTGTTTCTGGTGGGTGCGAGCGTGTGGTCGCCTATTCAGGCGCCGTTAGTTAAGGGGCGACCAGGAATTTGTGTCCAGAAACGGAAGGAACGATATGTGTGGATAGATGCCCTTGGTCTTTGTGAAACATCCGTCTGTGCCATCGATCGATTTGTGGACTGAAAATGACGTGACAATGTGAATGGGCATCCAATGTGCATGTGAGTTTGTGCATGAGATGGTGTGATGTGACAGCCGTACAGCCCGATGAAGAGACACATACTTATGGCTGCATAATTGAGGTGGCCTTCATTTGTGCAATCGATTCACCTCATGTAAACTGAGTCCATGTACTCAATGCGTTACCAACAAAGGATATAAAATGTAGGCACCGATCTGGCAATCATACGAACTCTCCATCTTGCCTCTCCTCGTCTGTCACTCCCGCTGTCCACCCGACACTCCACAACTGCCCCGCAAACCCCCCTTCCTCCCTCCCCCACGCAGACAGTAGCTAGTCGCACGCGCGAGGGCGATAGACAAAGGGGAGCGAATCCAGACACATTGTTAGTCACTCGAAGAGCGCCCGTCTCTGCGACGGCGAGTAAACAACCGTCACGTCGCACGTGAATCTGGAGATGCCCCGTGTGTTCGCGGCATCGTCCTCGCTTTCAACCGCTGCAGCCGCACCCTGGCTACGAAAGGCCGCTCTTGCCTCTCTGTGCAAAGTCCACAAATGCCGGCATCCAGACAGTCCGTCTCCTTGGCGATGCCGAAGTCAGAAAGCACGACATGACCGTCGTGGGCGATGAAAAAGTTGTTCCATTTGATATCTCTGAAGCGCGTGCGCACACACATAGGCAAAAAACCAGCGTGACGCCAACCAAGCTTGCCTGTGGACGATGTGTTTTCTGCGCAAGTGGTGCAAGTGGTCGACAGCCAGCGCCATGTCAGCGACGATCTCTTTCAGCCTCGAGACGGACCAATCACCACTGCGGTTCTCAGGGAGACGGGGCTTTAGCACCTTGGGGTACGGCTCCATTCCTGAGGTAGCAACAAGAAGGAAAGGAAGAAGAGAATGGACAATTTTCTCCCTTTCCTATCGATTCCCTGTATTCGTTCATACCCATGTAGCAGAACTTGTCATCTTCGAAGCACTCGTAGACCTTGACGACGTTATGGTGGCACAGCAGCCTCCACCAACGTTAATTCAGGGCCGACGTTGCAATCGCTTGGACCAACGTTGCAATTTGAATTAACGCAAGGAGTACATACACCTGCCGAATAGGTGTGACTGACGCATTCGATTGCCTACTTTCGAGCGCAAACGAGCAGAAAATACGAGACGGCCATCTTTCATATTCTCGCCGGGAAAAACCCATGCAGGAGAGAATTCTCGACGAAGAAAAGACAAGACGCCGAAATTCTCTGCTAAAAAGCAGTCCACGTTCCGCTCATTCGTGGCTGCCTCCACTCAGTGCCCAACGGTCTCATTAAGTGCTGTCCAGCTCTGGAGTGAGCATGACTACATTCTCGAGGGCAGGGAGACGCCGCCCGCCCCCACATCGACGAGGGAGCATGCTCCCAGAAATGGGTACGCCAAAGAATGTACCTGTCATGCTGGGTTGGCTCATATGTGTGCGTCTGCTGCAGAGCGTCGCGCCGCCACCCTGAGGCACCTGGACCGCTTCGCCAAGGAGATGTCGTTGTTCGATGACGACCCCGACCCCATGCAGATGAGTGACCTGGTATGCAGACGATAAATCGCCTTTTCATGTCTGCTTGTATCACACGTGCATATGTGGTTCTGCAGGAGTTCCCGACGTGGGTATGGCACTCGAGCTCGACAGCCTGAAGCGGCTCGTAGAGCAGGCCTACTTCATCCTTTTCGAAGAGGAGCCCTCCTCGTCGTCTGCTGCTGCTGCTGCTGCTGCTGCTGCGCCGGCATTGGCCCTGCTGGCGGTTGGTGTGCTACCGACCTCCACCCCCAGCAGCCCGTCGAAAGAGGAGTCGGTTCCAAACCTGCGGTCGCTGTTAGGCGACTATGGCGGTCACATACCCCGCCACAGGCCGACATCCAGAGGTTTGGGGTGCTGCATGAGCTGAGTAAGCCGAGGAATATATGTGTGTGCGGAGTGTATGTGTCTTTGTGTGTCTTCAGAGTCCCGCGGCAGTGCGTCATCGCGTCTGGAGGACTTCGTGTCCATCTTTTCAAGCCTCCAGCGCGACATGGACAGCAGCCCTCTTCAACGACCCAGCGGACATGACAGACCTCGCAGAGACAGTACGCAAGCGCTGTTTCTTCTTTTCACCCTTTTGCAGGAGCTATCGCCTTTGGTATGGTCGCGTCTCTCAACGATCAAGCAACTGATTGAAGGCAGCAGTGGCAGCGAAAGTGGCGGCAGCCAGCGCTATCGTTGCCTACATTTTATATCTTCTGCTACGTGACGCATCGATCCCGTGTATTAGCTGGTCCGCGCATGATATCGACTCAAGCACTGGACGACCTCCGTAGGTTCGTTGATCGATTCAGATGGGGCTGTGTGCCTGAAGAGAGCCGACCACCAATTGTAAGAGGCATCTTCGCTGTGATCATTTCTTTTGTTTCTCCCGAGCAGATTGGTGTCGGCCTCGAGATTGCACTTGATAAACTATGCTTTGCGTTTTGTTTGTTTTCTAGGCTTCCTGAAGGATGAGAACGCCATCAACCAGCTGAAGCGTGAAGAAAAGGCCATCCGCAACCCGATATGCATTCGAAGCGTGGCGAGGCCAAGCACGCCATCTGTACGCCTGGTGGGGACGCTGCTCGCAAGCAGGACAATGACCCCTTTTGTTGTGGATGTCTTGTGCTGCATGCAGCTTTACAGGATGGGCCAGGAGAACACCTGCCGCGTATGCAGAGCACAAAAGCAAAGGGACACGACGGCGTCTCATATGTGTCCCTTCCTTGTGCGTGCAGAGGCTCTTCAAGTCCGTCAAGAACTCGAGAGCGCTGGGGGCGGTGCAGCAGATCTCCAAAGAGCGTGTCAAGCATACAGCAGTGGCCAAGGAGGTGCCCAGGGGTTCCAAGAGAGAGCCCGACGAACAGCCTCCCGCCAGCAGCAAGCGGCCTCGGGGCTGCTGCCGCCGCCGTGCCAAGTGCGAGAGGCAAACACCAGAGGGGGAGAGAAGGGTCGTTGCTTGACCGCCTCTTCGGGACGGCCGGAGAAAAGAAGGGCCAGCCCATCAAAGACAACACGATAGCCTCTGCCGCAGCAGCAGCAGCTGGGGGACGGACCACGTGGAGCAGTCGAATGGGTAGGGATCCATCGGCTGGCAGAGGCAGAGGGCCCGTGGACGAACAGATGCTGGCACTGGCCTTACCCGTGAGGACTGCCATCGGATGCATCGCTGATCCACGTTTGTATTTGCCTTTTTTGTTCAATGATTATTTGTAGATATTTGTAGCATGTTGTGACGGACGATCAGCGCTGGATACATTTCCTCCAGGATGCGCTGAAGGGCCGCGACGATATCATGGGGTGAGTGGGAGACATAAGCAATACACTAGCTGACTGTCTTTTTCCCCTCAGGTTGGTGCCTGCATCTGCCATCACTCCTCAAGCTCAAGATGCCCCTCCAGCCAATGCCCCGCACCTACTCTGCCCCTGCGGACATCTGGAAACGCATCCGTGCCGCCAGCATTCGCCTGTATGTGCCCATCCTGGAGCTGACGCCCGCCCTCTTTTCGCCGCTCCCACAGCAAAGCGTCAAGGCCCTGGACATCTGCACCGGTCTAAAGACCTACACCGGGCGAAGGGCATTGTGCGGGGCCGATGTGCGCAGTGCCTGCACCTGCTGTTCGGGTCGATTGTCGTGCGCATCAACGACTTCAGCCGGGGCAAGAGCACGCTGAGGTTGGGCTTCGGGATGTGCCTGCATGGCGGAGGTGAGCACCACGAATGGCGAGACACGACGACAGGGAGCTTGGCGTCTTGTGTGCTCTGATCGATACGACGACCAGCTGAGAGAGGCGATGATGGAAGAGGAGCCACCGGAAGGCATCTCCATCTACATCCGGGTGGCGTGTGGGGCGAGTGTCATCGGCTTGGATGCCCTAAGAAGGTCTCCCGACCTGGCTGAGATCTCCCGTGAGGCGCCCACACAGGTGGAGCTGGACGACATGGGCCAGATGAAGAGCCTCTTCCCGCTCGAGGAGATGGGTACGCCAGGCAACACAGAACACAAGGGCATAATCTACGTGTGTTTTTGTGTCAAGGACGCCGCTCGAGTGCCCTGCTCCATATGAAAAGCCTGACAACCACCGTATCAGTGCTACATGCGGAGTTGCCCATCCTGTTCCAAGATGCACCCAACGCGGCGGACTTGGAACAGCAGGTATGAACATGTGTCTAGTCGACGCATCATGTCTCCTACTTTCTGCATCTGTGAGTGATGCTGTGATGCTGCAGACCCTCTCGTCATCCTTCTGGAGCCGCATGCGGTGGCTAAAGGAGAGTGTTGACGTCGCCTATAATCTGCGATACGACGAGGACCCGCCTGCAAAGCACCCGCCTGTTGCCCATCAGCAGCCACCGACAGCCAGCACTTCGGCTGCTGATGCTGCTGCCGGGACCAGTGAGGCGGCCGTCCTGGGTGAGATGCGTCTGAACGGTGAGGAGCAGCAGCTTGCCCTACCAGACGACACCGACAACGACGACAGCGACGACAGCGATAGCAATCGACGGCCATCAGCTGCGGCGGCAGCGCTGAACAGCATGGTGGATGCGGCGTGTGAGGCATTTGAGAACAAGGGCATGTACGACTAGGGAACAAGTTCCGAACAACGTGTCTAGAGGAGATGGGTACACCAGACAGCAGAAAACACGCGGCCATATGCACGCCAAGCAACGTCATTGTAAGGAGGACAGACGGCGCTCAGTAACGACATATGACCTCTTCACTTTCCGCCTGCCGGATGCGCGGATTCAGGAATATAAGATTGGCACCGAGAACTTCTCCCCCTTTAAGGTACACAAGGGACGAGACAGGGGATCATATTCTGTCCTCATCGTGTGGCTGATGTATCTGCCGTTGCACAGACACCTGGCGTCCGAGAGGGTGAAGAAGGCCTTGGCCGTCTCCAGTACCTCATGCAACAGCGGAGAAGCAACCAGACCCCATCACAGCGGCGTAAGTGACAAATAAACGCCCACACCGAGAGACAGAACATCCCTTTCGGCATGCGTTCTGTGCAGTGCCCTCAGGGCTGGAAGTCCTCGGCTGTTTCTGGACCGACCATGCCTTTATTAGCGGGATGATCAGCGGCACCATCGAGCCGCCTCGTCTCCTTGCTCCGTAGACCGGCAGCCAGATTGCCCACAGCAGTCGCCCACCCACCAGCCAGGGCTGTGCTGCAGGATGGTGCGCGACTTGCACCTGGATGATGTCTTCAAGTTCAACGCCCCATACGCCCGCATGGCCCGCCCGCCGCGAGACCTCTCCCGCCTGCCGCAATACTTGCAACAGGCGAGCATGGGGCAGTACGCCGCCATTCTGGAGCTCACATCTGCCCTGCCGTCCCCCCTCCCACTGCAAGCTGTCAAGGCCCTTGAGCACCTCTCCCACGGGGAGACGTACCTCGACCGCGCCAAGAGTGTGCTGAAGAGCCTGTGTCACCTGTGGGGCATCTTCTCTTCTCCTCGGTTGTGGTGCCGTTCGAGGAGGCCGGCAAGATGCACATGGGCTTTGGAATGGGCCTGCACGGCGGAGGTGCACAGCCACACTCATCTGAGCCGCTTTGAATGGAATGTTTCGCTTTCTTTGTTCAGCGGCATATGACAAGAAGGCCACCCACACTGAGCAGCCACAGGCCGCCGCAGCGGCAAGCGCGGCTGACCGGGGTATGCCTGACGGTGTCTCCCTGTACATGCGCGTGTCGTACGGCTGTACCCTCGACGACACCTTGCGGACATCACTGACCCTCATCGACATAACGCCTGACGAGCACGACAAGATGAGGGACGCTTTTCCGACCCATGAGCTGTGTACGGCTACTACAAGATAGACAAAGAGGGAAACCTGCGGTGATGTCTCCTCCTCTCTCTCTGTGACTATCCCCGCAGGATGCCGCTCGCGGACCCTTCTGCGTCTCGACGTCTTCGTCACCAACCTGACGTTGCTGCGCCGAGACTCGCCGTATCTTTCCAGTGACGCACCAGTGTCGGCAGAGCAGGTATGTACTGTAGGCTGAAGCGCACATCCTCTGGTCGTCTGCGAGTGTCTGTTGGATGTGTTGTTTGCTCCAGGCGGTGTCGCTTTCATGTGGTCGCGCCTCTCAACACTGAAGCAGCTGCTGGATATCACCTACAGCTTCTTGTATGAGAGAGACGCACCGCATTTTCGGCAGGAGCAGCCATTGGGCGGAGCGAAGGAATGTTCGAGGGAAGAGCGACAAGCAGATGAGAATTGTCTCGGTCGTTGTGATCGTTGCCTACGTTTTATATCCGTGGTTTGGGTCGCACCGATTTCACGCCATGCATCATTCAGGTATGTACATACATACGAACTCAGCGTAACATGAAATGTCTCTCAGTTCCCATCACACAGCGACGTGCATCACACACAGAAAGGGCACACATCAATAGGAAAGGGCACTCACCATCAAAGTGCGCATCTTTGCCTGTACGTACCTGTACGCAACCATCACTTTCCCTCGTTCTTTGCCACCAATGTCTCCCTCCCTTGCCGCCTTTCTCTCCCCCGCCTCCTGCGGCCCCTGAAGAGGCGGCCGCACTCTCGCACCTACCAAAAACACGTACAGCCGCATGCAAACCTGCGGACGCCCCTTCCGTCCTTGCCGTCGCCCTCGCCGTCGTCCTCCCCGATCCCAGCTGTGCCGGCAGTGGCCGTCCTGGCGTGTGCTTTGGGCCTGTGGCCGAGTGCGGTGGGCGGGAGGGGCTCCATGCTCTGTCTGGAGGGCGGGTGGGAGGGCTCGGCAAAGCTGCCGGCGCCGCCCATCATGAAGGTGCGGGAGAGCTTCATGGCCTGCTTGCGGAAGGTGGAGTACTGCTGCACCTGCTCCTCCTTCAACCGGTGGTGCTCCTCCTCCACATGCACCTTGCTCGTCAACCGATCCAACATGGTGATAGGCTACAGGGAATGGGGAGAGGGGCGCAAGAGGTTTCATGCGAGCTTGGGGGCGATTGGGGGCCAGTCTCGCAGTAAAGTGAGAGATCCGAGCTCTTGGTGTAGATCTGCCGGTGACTTGGACAGATCAAGTGTTTCGTGTCGAATTGCGCCTTGTCTGCCCGCCGAAGGAGCCGCACATTGTCGCAGAAAGGGAGATCTGAAGTGCCCGGTGCGAAGGAGGGGCACGAGAACGTACTCGTGTTGATACGCATCTCCTCTCCATGTCTGTGATGCTCTCAGGTTGTTGCGATTGCCCGCATGAAGCCCACGAAAGGTAGATCTCCATCTTATCGCTGACCACAGCCAGACACGCAGCAGTGCACGTGATGAGGACGCGCGTGACAAGTCACACAGTCCATTGTTTGCTCTTCTTCAGACACCCGCACGAGGGAGTCATCGTCGCCCCTCCTGGCCGCTGAGGCCACCGCGGCCCCATCGACGTCAGGGGCAGCATCCCCTGTCACAACCACACCAACATCGGCCGCTGCTGCGGCGGGAGAGGGGGGAGGGAGGGGGAGGGAGGGGAAGGGAGGGGCTGAGAGAGGACGGCGCCGCTGGTGCTGGGACCGGCTGATCGG